ACTTTCCTATACCCTTGTTCTTAAAGTTTAGTGAGCATGACTTAAATGAATTCCTTTTGAGTTACATTATGCAAGAAAATGAGTGTGGGGGAGTAAAAGTTTGTTCTTACGTTTATATGTATGTTTTGAGATTCAAAAGAAAAAGAAGAAGAAAAGAAAAAAAAAAAAAAAAAAAGGAGTGAAAATAAGTAAGAATGAACTCACGAGCGTTGATGGTTGAAGAAAGGGTCCAAAAAGTTGAATATGGCCCTAAGTTTTGTGTGATTTTCCCTTGGGTGTTCAAAGTTGACTTTTGCGTTCTTAAGGGAATTCTAAGTGCCTAATTCAATACTTTGCTCACTATTGCTTTAAGAATGTTTGTTTATCCTTCACCTTTCATTGTTAGCCAAGACCCTAGCCCCGTTACTACCCTTTGACTTCTATATTGAGTGTTATGTATTTCAATTGTGGAGTTTGAACTTGGTATGAGCTTATGGTGTCACTGGTTCTCGCGTCTAAGTAGTAGCATTCCATTCATGAGATCATATCTAAACATGCTTATTAACTCCAGAAAATGCTTTCCTTATTATAACATATGTGAGTGTTCGTCTACATGTTTACATCAATCTTCTCACATATACCTAGTGTAGGGTGTGTAGTCAGAAAATCTGTGTGAAAAACGAGAGTACATCTAGTAAGAAATTGAGGGAATTCTCTAAAGGCATGTTACTACATTTGAAATGTGTTTTAATTGCTTAATTGTGAACTAGTATGTGGTGACTATGATTAAGAATGTACTTAAGTCTAAAGATGGCTCAAATCTGTGAGAATAATGATTTTTAACTTGTCATGTGCATTGGAAGTCCCTGATACGATTGTTGGAAGGTGTAGGTTGTGTTTTGTTCTTTTTGTTTTGTTTTTCTGTTTTGCTCGAGGACTAGCAAAAGCTAAGTGTGGGGGTATTTGATAGGAGCATATTTATGCGACTTAAATGGCTTGTTCTCGTACATTTACGTTATGTTTCTTTAGTTATTTTAGTACTTTAAGCTATTTTCGTGTGTTTCTAGGTCCAAAGGGCTAAAGGAGCAAAAAGATGCATTTTGGAGACTTTTGGAGCACTTTTGGGCTAAGGACGGATAGCTTATGCTTGAAGCCAAAGTGTTGGACGAAATTGAAGACCTAATTGGAGCCAAAGTGTTGGAACCTTGTTCTCTTTAGTTTTAGGACATTTAAACCTTTCCTAATCCCAATCATGCCATGCATAACACACATCCATTCTAACACATTGTCATTGCACATGCATTTCCTTCATTAGTTAACCCACATGCACTTATCACTTATCATCACCACATATCATATCACTTAATCACTTATCACTTATCATCACCACTTAACCACTTATCATATCATAACCACATATCATATCACTTATCACTTATCACTTAACATATCATCCACCTACTTCACCTACAACATCCACCTACTTCACCTACAACATCCACCTACTTCACCTACAACCTCCACTTACTTCACCAACCTCACACACTTCACCTACAAATGACATAGCCATATGTTCCCTCCACTACTCCTATAAATACCCTTGCATTCATTCATTCATGGACATCTCATTTTCATCCACAACACATTACAAACACATTCTCCCTTCCCTAGCCGTGAGCTTCCCATCCATTCCCTTATAATCCAAACACCACTCCTCATCCATTTCCATAATCCCCCAAACCTCACCTTAGACCTTGTGCTACAACAACGAGGAAGATAAGAGGGCCTAAACGTTCATACAATTCAAGTGTGAGTTGTTGGAATGTTTAGGTGTTTCTTTGATTTCAAAGTTTAAATTCAATTCTCTTTGTTTTGTACGTATGAGGAATGGAAGAGAAGAGTGCCTAAACGTTCATACAATTCAAGTTTGAGTTGTTGGAATGTTTAGGTGTTTCTTTGATTTCAAAGTTATGAGGAACTAAACCCCCTTTAGCTAGGGGGTGATTCGAAACTATGTTTATATTTGCAATATGAATTGATTAACTTTCGTTGGAATTTCATAAGTTGTGGATTCAATTTGTTTAACCGTTTGATTGATAACTTATTTATGAATGTTTATTAAGAATGCGCGCTTAATTTTCATGCATAAATATGACGCTAGAATATAAGTGAATTTCACCTAATCGTTATGAACTTATATTCACAAGTAGTGGAGGTTGCTTATAAACAATCGCGTTAAATGAATTCTTGGCACGAGTTTCATGCTCATCATAGTAACGAATGCCTCGTCAACACTTATAGTTTTCATAATGCTTAATGATCTTTGATTGTATCTTTATTGTGCTGTTCACGTAAAGGACTTTTGGAGAATGTGGTGAATTGCGTTGCGCTAACCCATCCAATTCATTAACTTAAGGAAAACTTGACGGTTAATTTAAGCGGACCTAATTAACCCGGGGCGTTGAGTTTCATAATTTATCGAAAGACCAACTGAGAATCAATCTTGTATGCAAGTGTAACATGTGTGGAGAAGAACCCCTTGGCTATTCCATCATCCATATTTTATTCACATTCATATTTACATTCTGTTTTAATTGCAATTTGTTCATTTAGTTTAATTTTGTCAAAACCTAAATCCCCCTTTACTTTAATGTCAAATTAGTTAGAAATCAATTTAGTTTGTGTTTTTAAGAGTTTTGAGTCTTTTGAACTTGTTAGAATCTGTTTAGTTTATGTTTTAAAGTATTTTTGAATTCCTTGAGTCTAGTTTAGTGTTTTATATTGTTTTTACGTTTTTGAGTCAAATCCAAGTGATTAACAATCCCTCCTAATCCCCGGTCTAGAACGATCCCTACTTATACATATACTACAATTTGACGAAAAGAGGGTTTAATTTGTGCGCGTATAAATCTCGCATCAGGTGTGTTGTATGATGTTTAATTATTTAAGTTGACACTCTGAGCTCAATAATTGGTTATGTTTATGATATTTCTTGTTTTCCAATAAATGTATACATGTTTGAGATTGGATATATTATAACAGGAATAGTCTCTGACAAATACATTATTGGAACTCTATATTACTTCTCACTAATTGACCATTTTGAGTAATTTATTAATATTGTGGTACATCAAAGGAATTATATTGCATGTAGATTTAAAACATCATTGACTTGCATTAGTGGATTACTTAAAATCAGTATTTATAATGAGGGTGCTTTCAAATATAATGCACCTAATGCTTATTTCTTAAACCATAAGGCATATCACATATGTGTCATATGTGTCGTGTAGGCCAAGTGGGAGAATGTAAGAATATGACATATGACACATATCACATATAGACTATGTTGTGTGGGCCCACATGACATAGTCTATGTGTGGTATATTTGGTTTATTGGATATTGTTTTGGACGCAATCCTATTGTCAAATTATGAGAATTGGTTTCCTATTTTATTACATTGATGGGTGGTGATTACTTATGGGCTTCATTAGGAAGCATGTATTCTCTCTCTACTATAATAGTGCACATAACTAAATACACTTTTGATAACATTATGGCAAATATAGTTAAACGTATTTTCTGAGCCTGCAGTTTTTAGGGAAATTTTCGTAGAATGATATGTGCTTAGTGCTTGCTTCATAAAGACTCGAATTTAAAAAAATATATGATGATGTGCTTATAATGAAAAGAAATCCAATCAAAACACTTATATTCAGTTTTCCAAACAAACCTTTACTAACAGTGTAATTTAATCATAATAAAATTAATTTCGTTCATGATCAGCCACCACTTGGAATCATTTTCTCTAATTTTTGTTTTTGTTTTTGTTTTTTTGTTTTTGTTTTACTTCTTTAGCAATAAATCCATGATAACACATTAAGTTTAGCAAAAGAGAGAGCCCATGTAAGTTGCAATAGAAGGTAGTTGAAATTACAAATCTCACTGCAGAGGCGGCATTAGGGATGTGTAAAAAGGCACAGTGGCACAAGACCCTAAACTTCTAAGGGCTCCCAAAAATTATCATCCTACTGCATATTACATAGCGTATAATTTTCTAATAAAAAAGTTTTGATTGAAAAGAAAAATCATCAACATAAGATTTTATCTACATTACAATTGATTAAGTGAAGCCTATACTTAGGGCTGGTTTGGTATTGCTGTGCTTTGAAAAAAAGCTGCTTCTGCTGTGCTGTGAGAATAAGCAGCTGTGAAATAAAGCAGCAGAGTGTTTGGTGAACTTTTTTGTAAAAGTGCTTTTGAAAAAAAAAAAGCTGTATTATAGTGTTTGGTAAACTTTTATGTAAAACAGATGTGAAAAAAAGCCAATTTTTCAAAGCTGGGTTTTGCAGCTTCTTGTTTTTGGCTTTTTTTCACCCAAAACTGTGAAAAAAAGCTAAGCTGAATGTTTACCAAACACAAAAATAGCTCCCAGCTTTTTTTATACCAGCTTTTTTCAGAATCACCTCAGTACAATCTTAATTTTCACTTTTCTCAAACAATAAGAAAACTTGTCTATTACTCTCTTTCACTTTTCTCAAACAATAAGAAAACTTTTGTATTACTTTCTTCCTATTTTCTCAAGGGATAAAATACCAACTTGTATATTACTTTCTTCCACAACCACATCCGTATATCTCTTTCAGTCATGCTCCTTTTTCATGGATGGACCTTAAATCATAATTTCATGGCAATTGGACATCATTCCATTAGTAAGAGAAAGATGTTCATTTCAATCAAGTTTTTTGTATTGATTGTTGAATTATGTATAATATATTGTCCAAAAATTATTTTTTAAAATAAGGAATTTTTTTTTATTTCATTCGCACAAGGCCCCCAAAATGTCAGAGACGGCCCTATCTCACTGTATTTGCATGATTCTCAAGTTACAAGTGAGTGTGTACAAGGTGTTTTCAAACTAGAGAAAAAAAATACAAAATAACGCAAACATGTGAAATGATAAACTATTACTCAATAGCCTGGGAACATTGGCGGTGGTGGCGATGAGTATAGTGCTCCAATGTTTGGTGGTAGCACGAAGTCTGGTTGGGTTGGTGGTGAAGACTGCACAGGAGGAGGCAAAGGAGGAGATGGAGTTGGAGCTGGGGGAGGAGGTGATTCGACTGGTGGTGGTGGGGATTGGACAGGTGGTGGTGGAGATTGGACAGGTGGTGGTGGGGATTCAACTGGTGGTGGTGGAGATTGGACAGGTGGTGGTGGGGATTCAACTGGTGGTGGTGGAGATTGGACAGGTGGTGGTGGGGATTCAATTGGTGGTGGTGGAGATTGGACAGGCGGTGGTGGGGATTCAACTGGTGGTGGTGGAGATTGGACAGGTGGTGGTGGCGATTCAACTGGTGGTGGTGGAGATTGGACAGGCGGTGGTGGCGATTCCACTGGTGGTGGTGGAGATTGGACAGGCGGTGGTGGTGATTCAACTGGTGGTGGTGGAGATTGGACAGGCGGTGGTGGGGATTCAATTGGTGGTGGTGGTGGAGATTGGACAGGTGGTGGTGGGGATTGGACAGGCGGTGGTGGGGATTCAATTGGTGGTGGTGGGGATTCAACTGGTGGTGGTGGAGATTGGGTAGGCGGTGGTGGGGATTCAACTGGTGGTGGTGGAGATTGGACAGGCGGTGGTGGAGATTCAATTGTTGGTGGAGGGGATTGGATATGTGGTGGAGATTGCACAGGCTCTGGTGTTGGTTCTGGTGTTGGAGATTGTAGTGGAGGAGATTGCACAGGCTCTGGTGTTGGTGGTGGTTGAATTGGATATAATGGATCTTCCTTAGGGCTACGACCAATTGGGCTTGGTGAAGGTGCGGGTGTTAGTGGTGTCTCAATCTCTGGTGTTTCGGGTGGCTCTGCCTTTGGTGTCGGTGGTGGCTTTACCTTTGGTGTTGGAGGTGGCTCAACTTTAGGTGTAGGAGGAGGCTCAACCTTTGGTGCAGGAGGTGGCTCGGCCTTAGGTGTTTGCGGTGGTTCGACCTCAGGTGCTTGGGGTGGTTCAGCTTCTGGTGTTTGGGGTGGCTCGGCCTCTGGTGTTGGAGGTGGTTCAGCCTTTGGTGTTGGAGGTGGCTCAACTTTAGGTGTGGAAGGTGGCTCTACCTTTGGCATGGGAGGTGGCTCTGCCTTTGGTGAGGGGGGTGGTTCGGCCTTAGGCACCGGAGGTGGTTCGGCCTTTGGTGCTGGTGGTAGCTCAACCTTGGGTGTGGAAGGTGGCTCGGCCTTTGGTGTAGATGGTGGCTCAGCCTTTGGTATGAGTGGTGGCTCGACTTTAGGTGCAGGTGGTGGCTCAACCTTGGGTGTGGGAGGTGGCTCCGCCTTGGGTGCAGGTGGTGGCTCTGCCTTTGGAGTCGGTGGTGGCTCGGCCTTTGGAGTTGGTGGTGGCTCAGCCTTTGGAGTTGGTGGTGGCTCGACCTTAGGTGTCGATGGTGGCTTTGCCTTTGGAGTTGGTGGTGTCTCAGCTTTTGGTTTGGGTGGCGGTTTAGCCTTAGGCGTAGGTGGTGGCTCTGCCTTTGGAGTGGGTGGTGGCTCGGCCTTAGGTGTGGCTGGTGGCTCGACCTTGGGAGTGGGTGGTGGCTCGACCTTCGGGGTGTGTGGGGGCTCCGCCTTTGGTGTGGGTGGCAACTCAGCCTTCGGAGTGGGTGGCGGTTCAGCCTTTGGAGTAGGTGGCGGTTCAGCTTTTGGTGTGGGTGGCGGCTCAACCTTTGGAGTTGGTGGTGGCTCAGCCTTTGGTGTTGGTGGCAGCTCGACCTTAGGCGTGGGTGGTGGCTCAGCTTTAGGCGTGGATGGCGGTTTAGCCTTTGGCGTTGGTGGTGGCTCAGACTTTGGTGTAGGTGGTCGTTCAGCCTTTGGCGTTGGAGGTTGTTGAGGCTTTGGTGTCTTAGGCTTTTCTGGTGTAGAAGATCCACCACAATTCTTGCTGCAATCCACGGGCTTAGTTACCACAGGGAAACAAGTCTTTGTGTTCTTTTGCTTGGGTCTTCCTGGCATGCAGTTGCCTGAATCATCCAACACTATCTTCGATTTAGGATTAGGCATACATTTTTGAGCCTCCCCACTAAAATAGTTGTAAGCAAATGTGAAATTGGCCATCTTAGGCAACGTGCAAATCTTATCAGTCACAAACCCTGTCAACCTGTTGTACCCAATATCCAATTCCTCAATGCTCTGTAGCCCGACAAAGCTTTTTGGTAAAGAACCTATAAATCCATTGTAGCTCACCTCAAAAACTTGCAATTTTCCAAGGTTTCCAATCTCAGGAGGGAAGCACCCGCCAAGCTGATTGTTCATGAAGATCAGCTCGTTCACATTGCACATGTTCCCAACGCTGTGCGGGATGCAACCACTGAAATTGTTAAACGCAAATGAAACAACAGAAACCTTGGAGTTTCCAATCGTCTCTGGAATCACTGACGTGAATCTGTTGTGGTTCAAGAAAATGGCATCAAACTCCTTGGTGAAAAGCTCTGGAGGTAGCTCACCTTCGAAGCCATTGAACCTGAGGTCAAGGTACTTGCAATTAGGCCATCTCAGGACGACTCCAGGAAAACGACCAACGAATCGGTTGTTGCTGATGTCGAACTCGTACATAAGCGTCAACCTTCTGCAGCTCTCTGGGACGATACCACAAAATCTGTTGGAGTTGATGTGGAAGAGAGCGAGGTCGGTAAGGAGCCCCATTTCGACAACGAGATGTCCTGCAATGTCTGCATGGTTGAGATCTATGCCGGCCACCACGTTCAAGCTCGGGTTGTCGAGCGCCGGAGCACAGAACACCCCTTTGTAGGCACAAACATTCTCCCCTACCCAGTTAGCGGTGAAGTTAAAAGGGTCGGAAAAAATAGCTCTCTTCTGCGCCTGGAGAGCGACATAAGCCCTCTTGAGCCTATCGTTTTCAAATTTAAGCTTGGCGTCGACTTGAACCTCGTAGTTGTCTGGGAGGTCACCATTCTCCGGGAGAGAAGTGAGTTGGCGGTGGGCTATGTGAGCAGCTTCAGCATTAGTTAGGGCGAATGAAAGAGCTGGAAACGAAGAGAGAATGAGGGAGAAGAGAAGAAAGCAGTAGCCCAAGGCCGTGGGGGAGAGAAGAGATGGAGCCATGGATGAAGTCGAGTAACTTGGCTTTGCCCAAGGCTGCTTATAAAGGCGAAGGGAAGGGAGGTGGAGGGAAGCAGTGATATTCTTGGCATGTGATTGAATGGTTAGGAAAAGACAGAGGTAATCGTTTTGTTTTAGCACCGGAAATTATGCTGGTCTTCTTAATATTTACATGCACACTCCACCAAGTTTGGAGGTACGTTCAAATTTTGTGGCCTAAAAATTGACCTTTGACTGGGTCCCTTTTTTTTTATTTATTTTTTTGTTCATTAACTGTCGTATGGTGGATGATTGCATTTAGTTTAATTATTAACTTGTTGACGCAGTGCTTAGGGGTTTCATGCATCAGGTTTTCTAGCTTCAAATAGCATGATACATATCTAATATTTGACAAAGGTGGCAGAAAAAAGAATATTAAAAATACTTATCGTTAATTAATGATTGTAATGAACGACGCTCTGGGGTTAGTTGGTTAGTAGGTATACCCACTTCTAATAGAGTGCGTAAAAAACCACAATTCCTGCTCAAATTTAAAAAAAAAAAAAAAAACCTAGAATGTTGGTCAATAGGATTCTCATCTACTTATTGTATGTATGTCATGCTGGGCTATGAGAAGCAAGGAAGAACATTGAACCAATCGCATCAGATCAGGTCAAGTGAACAGAAAGAGAAGATGAAAAGCATCTGCTCACAAATCGAAAAGTGACGCTTATAACATGAGAAAAGTACAAAATGCGGTGAAATTGTGTGCAGTAAAACATAAAGTAAATAACACATAATGTTTATGAGGTTTGACAAGTGTGCTTATGTCCTCAAGGCAGTAACAGTATATCTTTCATTATCAAACTGAAATTACAAAGCAATGAAACAAGAGATTGTATGTTTTCTTCTTTGTAACATTTGTGAGCTAATAGGCCTTTATATAAGAAACCATATTGTTCCCGACTAAGGCCAAGAAATGTAAAAGTAGGCAACACACATTCAACATTGTAGGCGGCATGAAGCGGTGGGACTCTGCCTATTTCTTCATATGGGTCATCCACTTTTATAACACGAAATTCATTAATTGAAAGGAGACTTATTTTTAGCTACCTCTCTTGGAGCTTCATTTAGATCTCACTTTGCTCCTGTAATTCAAATGTCAACACTTTATTCCTTGAAACTTAAAATTGTTTCACTGTAACATTCTGATTCTCTTATTTCTGAAAGTTATAGATCGTCTCCTGAAATATATGCGAGACCCAACATTCAATTAGATTATGCCACATCCTTAATAAATTTGATTATAATCTCTATTATGCCTTAAAACATTCAACAATCAGCGAATATTAAGTTTAAAAGAAATTGAAGAGATGAAGAAAAAAAATGATTAGTCTGGCGCACTCAAATCAAATCCACATGAGAAATTAAGAGATCTACGACGACGTAGAACAACTTTTAAGTTTTATAGAGTTAACAGTTTCAGGAGGCAAATGGAATCAAAATGAATTCTAGAGGGCAAGGGAGAGCGAACTTTGAGTTTCAGGGAATAAAATTGCGACTTTTGAGTTGGTAGAGTGAGATTAAAATCAAGTTTTAGGAGCTACCTAGCATTACAGTCTAAGCTTAACCATTGCCTCACGACTTTAGTGTGAATAAGATCGTTTGCTAAAAAAAAAAAAAAAAAAAAATCAAGTTCTAAGGAAAGTAGGTAAAAATAACTGTGAAAGGATAAGAATTTTTACAAAGAGGACTGGGCGCACAGGTGTAGCCACGCTAAAACCTTGTCGGTGATATGTCCACATGAGTTAGAATCCCTTTATTTGCTGGGAGTAGGAAAGAGATGATCACTATGTTAGACTGGAATTAAATAACCATGTCTCCAACAATAAGAGATAAGGTTGTCTCTGTCTGTTTAGCAACAAAAGAAGATAAGGTTTAACATTGCAAATCTCACAAAATTACAAGAAACCTCTTTAATTCAACTCTCGATGAAGAAAACTTATAAAGCCTAAACCTAATAACACATATACACACATCCAACTTCGCACTTGAACTTAATCCCAACAAAAATAAACAAAGATATAAACTTATTACTTTACAAGCCGATTTTACAAAGCGATATTCTAAACCGCTCTAATCTGTTTCGTGGTCGGGGGCCTGAGAATACCAAACAGGGTGCCTCCCCTTGATTCTAAGCAGCCTGGTGAAGGGTGAATCCGGCATTCTTCCTCTTTCTTCTTCCTCCAGCTCATCAGCCGATTTCGGCAACCCATCTGGTATCGGACACTCTCTCTCTCCTTTTCCCACATTCGACGGCTTTGCCGAATTGAATCCCAACTTCTTTTCCTTTTGGATTCCTGCAATCCCGTGTAGGCAGCCCACCAACGTCTTCACGCCTCCTGCCTGAAGAATCAGCTTCTCCACATCCTGTTTTGGCATCTCCTTCTGCACGTAGAAAATCGGAAAGGATATGTCTTTAAAAATCCTCCATTTTCTCAGCAACCAAACAGTCCATCCAACTGGGAAAGAAAGTGCTGAAAGCTAAAAATATACCTCGAGATCTTTGAGCTCGAAATATGCTCTCCAGCAGCTATAGGACTCGTCTCCTTCCAGCGTCGAACAGTACTCTGAACCAAAACCACAGAAATTGAATCAATAAATCGAAAAGATTCATACAACCCAATACAACAAAATCAGATACAAAATCAGATCATAAATCAAAATTCAATTCACATTAACTAACAAAAAAAATGAAAAAAGCTGAAATTTAGGAGATGGGTACGAACCAGAGAGCTCGTTCTCGCACTTTTCGATCAAGGGCGGGTCTTTAATGCCGCGCTCAAACTTTGACCGGCTGAAAGGCTCGAGCTTTGGAATATAAGAATGATTTCTCGACGAGGAACAAACAGTGGATGTGAAGTTCGGCGTTCTTGCCGTTAACAACGACGGGGATGATCGTGTGGTGGGATAAGCTTCTCGGAGCAGAGGAGAAGACGGCGGACAAGATCGAAGCATGACTAACCTTATCATCGTGTCAAAACACACCCCAGGTCAAATTATCCCTACTTTGCCTCTTGGATTGGACTGGACTGAACTGGACTGGTTCGGATTGGATTCAGAATTAGGAAGGAGATGCTAATGCTATTTTATACTAGAAACGCTCGGCGGAGTGGATAAGGATTAAAGCCTCAGATACGACTTACAGTGTTTTTTCAAGGATATTTAGGGGGTGATAATAGTACAGGACTGTGTTGGAAGGGGGTAACAGATAAATCAGGGCCGTTGATGAATGTCCACGTGGTTGTATCCTGGCGTTAAGGAGAAGTTACGGTGATTTTTGGTGGAAAGCGTCGATGTGGGACTGGATTATTGGGCGGTGGCATTTCGGATCGATGAAGCATATCGCGGCGGGTTGTGTGAATCAGTGGGCGGGAAGAGAACAAACAGGGGATACCCGGTAAACAGTCTGAATTCTTTTTTTTTGTTTTGTTTTTTTGTTTGGTGTTCCGAGCATTCTGTGTATTCTAACAGTTAGATCCATGTTTAACAATAAAAAAAAATTGTTATTCACACTTCAAAATTCTCATGTTGAATTCCAAACCTTTTATATTTAAAAAAAAAAAAAAAACATTTGTAAGGAGTGTAAAATAAGATTTTTAAAATACCAATAACACTTCTCTGAAAAAAAAATAATACAAAAACAATAAAAAATTAAAATTTAACCAAATTAAGCATTCAAAGTTTTTTTTTTTTTTTTTTTAATATCATTTTGTCCTCAGAGATATTTGTGGAGGCAAAATTTTTTTTTCTTGAACAAACGATATTAGCAAAACTAAAAAAGAAGGATGAAGTTAGCCTCACAATGGACTAGCAATAATGTGGGTTGAATTCGTCTTTGGCGATAACCAACCTAAGACCTTTCACTTACAAGTGAAGAGGAATATGACACATCCCGACCCAAAATGTCCACTGGACACCTGAATTGCGATGTGCTGGCTAACACCTGGAAGGTGACAAAGGTGACAAAGTCATAAAGTGTAGTAATGTGGAAAATGTGAATAAATTAAAACCTAAAAGTGACTAATTTAGAGTGCGCATGTGAGCAGGATTGAACCTATATTACACAAGTGATGTCAGAGCATAGATAAATTTGCAGTAAAAGGAGAGTAATGACATTTATACCAAAAGGAGAAGTCTCCTACATAACAGCTTTTGCCAACCATCATCGTCGTCACGAAACCTCTGCCATTAAAATCCTAGAAGGGCAAAAAATTAGGGTGAGTGGGCCTGAAAATAAAGTTTTGTAAAACCTTTTTGAAAAGTATAGCCCCTTGTTAACCCTATTTAAACCTCACCACACCGACGCGTGGCTCCGACAACAGTGAGCGTGGTGTCTACTCACTGAACCGCGGCGACGAGTACAACTACGACGGTGGTCCTCGACCATGCGCCACCATATGCATCCTGTTCTCTTTCCCAGTTTTTGATAAGGGCAAACGGAAGAACTCTGGCAAGTTCCAAGTCCAATTCAAGGTGAAATCTCCCACATTTCACTTGAAGGTTTTAACTTACAATTTATGCTGGATATCTATGTTCTTATTGCATGCATGGACGCCGCTAGTTTTGACGCATGGTAGCATCTATTCTGTTAACTTTGACAGAATTGCCTGATGAAAAAGGTATATTCCATTAACCCTATTAAAACCTCACCATACCAGTGCGTGGCTCCAACGACTATAAGTGTGGTGTCTACTCATAGAACTACAACGGCGAGTATGACTGCGCGTTAGCTGGCAACGGTGGCCCACGACATGTGACACCACCGCGGCGGCGCGTGGTACGCTTGGTTGCGCATGCGGCAACGTGTGATAGACTCGAGACTTAACCCTAGGTTTTTTGGTGTTCCAAGTCACGTGGTCTCCTCCGTTTGTGCAACTTTAATACCTAAATGGTAGTTTTGGGCATCCCATGAATTGATGATTTAAGCTGATTTTAGCTTATGTTGACTATCACAAGATTATCAGAAGACCAGAATGACACAATCGATGAGCTTATTTGGGAAGGACGCTCTATTTACCTGTGAGTAGACCCATTCGAAAACCAAAATGTTTTTACATCATATATATGTTTATATATGCCTTATATGTGGATGCATATTAATATGTTAGTCTTTGATGAGACTTGTGAGGATATTTGACAATATCATTGGATCATTAGTGATCTATTTTCACCACATGGTCATCATGTAATATTTTTATATAGCTATCTTCGACCATAGATTATTTGCAAGTGATATTTGTCCATAGATGCTAGGGTTGATGATTGTTACTAGTATTGAGATTAATTAGTTAATGCTAGTATTTTGTGCTTGCTACACTTATGTTAGTGGATGCTAGCATGTTTGATTGATGTAAGGTATGATTTCTGAACTTGACTTGATTGTTTTCGATTGTATTGTTGGATGAGATTTTAATATTATGGTAGTAAATATTATTATATAGTTTTCGCTATATATGTTTTCAAAACATGGATTATTATGTTTAACGATGATTTTATAACTGTGATAAACTAGTCCACTCACATTTTGTTTTATCAACCACTTCAGGACGTAACAAGAGTAAGGAGAACATCGGTGGGGACGAGTGGGCTTGGCAGTGAAGCTTTCATCCTCTAGATTTTCGGTGATGGTTCATTTACTGCAGTTTTATCTTAGTTGTAATAATAGTGGCATGATCGTACTTTTGATTATGCATAGCACTGCACTTTGTTGTATTTATACTTGTGTTAGACTTCTAGTTGCTCTGGTGTGATGTGATAATAACGGGTTAAACTTGAGATAATTTATATCCCCAAGTGGGGAGGATGATAGTGATTTCTTGTAGCAGCTTTGGAATTTATAAATGAATGTTTTTGTTCAAATTCTTTCACATTATAAATATATTTCTATGGCTTCGTCATTAAGTTGGCTTGTGACATCATTTCTGAATAGGGTAATATGGTCAATTTAGTGTCGGCCAGCACATTACGACCTTGTAACTTATGTTATTGGGGTCGAGGTGTGTTAGAGATGACCAATGATGAAGTTGACAAAGGATACCAAATCCCAAATTTGTGCAGGTAATCCTCTAAATTAGGTTTAGCATTGTTTCAAATATGCAATCCTTTAAGAGTTACTTTGTCACTAATAGATTGTCTTGCACCACCTATTTTTCTTCTTATGCTAAAAGTAATCAGGATTCAATTTTGAATCTTTGTGCAGGTGTATTTTTGCCACTTAACCAACAACTACTACTACACCTTATGGACAATGAAACAACCGCATTCTTAAATCCATATTAAAAAAACCATGTAAATTGTATATAGTTAGAACTTAGAAATTCACAATTTTGATGGTACATAGATTATTAATGTATTCAATAGAATATAGATGAAACTAAAAGAGTTATTTTATCTTGTGGATTCAGCTGCCTTGCTTGACTTTTGATTAATTTAGAAATAGGTTTGTTAAATTTTGCATTGTGATTTCAAAACTTGCAGCAGAACCAGACATTTTTGCTAATTTTATACTAGAACAATGGTGAGGTTAGATGTTGTATATTAGCATTTTTTTTTTGGACAGAAGTGATAAAGATTCATTACCACAAAAATAAATAAACAGACCAATTATAAGGGTGTCAGATGGGTATATATGCTCCAGTAATCAATTTCTTGATCTAGAGGTAATTAGCACAAAAACGCAAATAATTTAAAACCCCTATATGACTACCCCACAAATCATACCACTAGAACAAAGAGTCTTGAAACAGATATGCCACGTAGATGAGACTTGAAATACCAACCATCAAAACCCTCACAAAAGTCATTGTAGTCAGCGAGCCTACAAAACACCGTAGCAGCACAATTATCTTGACAAAGCAATGCAGACAAAAGAACAAAATGAACTAGACTACAAAAAAAAAAAAAAAAAAAAAAACCGACATGTCCACAGTGAAGGAACATGTGCAGAATTAGCAAGAGACATAGGAGCAGAGTCACATGCAAAGATGGCAGGAGGCATAAGACACCAGCTGTAGCTGGGGTGACACCCACCAAAATCCGTTAGAAATTCTGCCACCCCGGTGTGGGTCATAACGGTAGTAAGGTTAGCGATAAATGACATGGATGGCAAAGGGCAGGCCAAACAATCCACACTGCCGCACTTCCAAACCCCACCACCATCACGAACCCAAATAGGATGAAATGATAGTTCTAAGGGCAAAGCCCTCAAAGAACCCAAATCACCGAGAAAACAACAGCAGATCTACATGCCAAACTGTGGGCATCCAAGAGAGCCGCCACTGGGAACACCACAAAATTGACTCCACCTAGGACACATAAACATGACAAATCTGAAGGCTCTCCACGCCAAAGCGAATGAGCGACCCAACGAAATCTGCATCCAGAACGTTACAACACCAAACCCAACAACCACCATAAACCATCTAGGAAAGCCACTTATGCCGTGAGGGAGTGGAATACACGATCTACCAAAAAGCAAACCCTGGGTTAACATCCACCAAATGAAGGACCAAGGGAGACTATCAATTACCTCGCTCATGAGAGAAACGGGTGAAACAGTCGCCATAACCGTCAAAACTAAAAACACATGACGGTAGAGCCATCCAAGGGAACACAGAGAGTAAAGGAACCTTTGGATCTAAGCTCGCCAGTGGGACGATGGAAAAAACGTGGGAGGAACGCAAAGGGAGAGAAGCTTGGGATGAGGGAGAGGGCGAAGAGAGGGATGGACGCAAGGTGGAGGAGCTAAAAGTAGGGAGGGAGAAACAGCCACCAGTCCCCAGCCATAGCTAGACGCCGGCGGCTAAGGAGATGGGTTTTTCTGGGTTTTTGAGAGAGGGTTTTTAGAGAGAAAGATTATTATTTTTTTCCCTTATTCTCCTTGTTTGAACACTTTATCATTATATGTGCTTTATTTGAACACTTTAAAATTAACTTTGTGTAAGTATGGTATATAATTTTATTTTCTATGGAATTATTTTTATGATATGGTTATTTGTAATTTACTCCACATGTGTAGAATTCAACGATTTACCA